TGTTCTGCCATGTGAACCCAAGACATAAACAACAAGGACATGGAAGGCCACTGAAATTAAACGAGATGTAATTACATAAAAACAGCGTATGGTGCAGCCTCTTCTGATTTTCACTCATTCGGTGACACTCCTCCAAGGACTTCCATTGCTGCCATTCCCCAACAGCACAAGAGGATGCATCCCTTTGGGTCCTATGCCATAAATGGTCACAGATACTCAGGGACACATGCCATATTCGAAGTGAGATTCCCTTGCTGGATGTACATCAAGAATGACCCGGAATTAAGTTATTGTGCCACTTGGAGAAATACAAGTGGCTATCAAATAGGGGTGGACAGAGGAAACAAAACTAAAAGGGAGATAGGAAGGTGGATATGGAAAGATAAATTTGTAAGATAAATAAGTAAAATTTAAATTAAACCGAGAGTTCAACCTACTGTATTTGAATGCCACAAATCAGATGTCATATTTATTTCAGACAATAAAGCTCACACGTAGAGCTAACACAATAATGTGTGTAGATTTATAAAAACTACAGAAGATAAACAAAGAGAATGCTGGAGCGTCAACAGGTACAGCAACAGAGGTCAGGGAGGATTTATAGAGAAAGAATGGGTGTGGACCAAGTAGGAATCTAAGAGGAAGAAGGCTGGATAAGAAAAGGGGCACATCCGTTAGAGAAAAGGACAAAAAGGCAGACAAAGCCCTGGAGAAGGAAGTAGGTGGAAAAGACCCTGGAGGAAAATACCCTAGATACGGCTGTGTGGGTTGGGGGAAGCAAGATTGCCATGTAAGGAGATGGACGAGTAAAGTGGGGGGGAGGAGAAAAGGAGGTTATGAGAGATGGGGAAGAGATGGGCAGGGGGATTGCTGCCCTGGCTGAGAGATAATATCAATATCGGAGATTTACCCTCCCCTTAATAGACAGTCCTCCTCTTCCCCGTCTCCCCTCTCACTCCATGCCTGGGAGGTGCAAGTTGCAGCCATGCAACGGTGCCCAATCAGACCCCTGGTAAGCAGCTGGTTGATTCCTGCCCCATTTTGACTTTCTTTGTCCGGGAGGGGCGCCCTCCAAGGGGAGAAGACAATGCGGCTTCCAATGTCAGGAAAGGCGCGATACGGGGTGGGGGACGCGTGATTTAAAAAAAAGAAAAGAAAAAGACAACGCGTAGACCTATCCATTTTTCTTCCTCCCTCCTTTCGTGCGTCGCATCTCCTTCGTTCTGCTACACAACCTCTTCCGATCTTCCCCATCTGAGTTCTTGCAGAGAAAGTCGGAAGGCTCAAAGAAGGGCAAAAATAAAAGCACGTAGATCTTGCTCTCCCCACCCCCCACCCCCGGCACGACTCACCTTGATCGAAAGCTCGAAGGGGCAGGGAGGCCACAATTTCAGACTCCAGACTCCCTCCATCCGAGGCATTTTAAGGCACTGCGCCCATCCCTCCAAGCTGCCCCACCCACCCCAGCCGCGGAGAACGAGCGGGGCCTCGACAACCCCGCAAGCTCCCTCACCCAGACGCGCCCCGCCAGTCTCGCAGCCACTCACCCTGCGGGCTGGGAGGCTCCCCCGGCTGCGTCTTGCCCAGAGCTGACCAGCCGGGGCCGACGAGCAGCGATAAGAAGATGGCGAAGCGCATCGCCACAGCCGGCGCCCGCAGCATTCTGGCCGCCCCCACCGGCTCCTGCTACCCGGCCATGGCGCGTCCAGAGAACCACGGCAGCAACCGAGCTGGCTCTGCAGGATCCGGTTATGCGCCGGCGACAGCAAAGGAGGCGCTGCGATGCTGCCCCAGTCCGGCAGCCCCTCCTGTCCAGCAAGAAGATTGGGGGAGCTCGAACGGCTCCACCTACTGGGCGAACGAGCACCGCGATCGCCTCGCTGTTGCAGCCGCGGCTGCCGCCTACTTCTTCTCCAACGCTCCGCCCTTGCCTTACCTCACCTAGAAACTGTGATCAATACCGACCTGGGGTCCTGAGGCACGTAAGGAGGCGCATCTCCTATCAGCAACGCTCCCAAAATGTGTCTCTGAGCATGTGCAAAACATGGATGCTGTTCCAATTAAGTTTTGTTCAGACTAATGGTGAGCGAATTGGGAGGGAGAGGAGCCATAGAAGCGAACAGGCATCTTCCTGAAACAACGAACAATGAATAACCTTTTGCTCATGGGAAATTATGTAGTAGATCATTCTAGTCTGATGTAGTGTGTTTGCTCTTCTGCATGGTTATGGGGTGAAGTTGGTTGGTTCCAGATGCTCCTAGGGAGGGCATGAGCTTGATTAAGGCCTGTCTGGTTCCTCACCAATCTGAACCTGCCTTGGAATCTTTCCCATAGCCTTGTCCAGAAAGGGAACAAGGAGTTGGATTCAAGCTGCAGTCAACACATACTTGCAAGAGGAGGAGATGCCAAACCAGCAACCTTTAAACAAGGGTCTCCTTGAATCTAACATCTGTAGACAACTGCTGCCCTATCTCTATCAGCCCTGTAGAAGATGATAGAGAAGGTAGTAGGACAGCAAAAGAGATTCTCATTCATCCAGGTCATGGCTATCCCAAAGATGCTTTTTCTGGAGACAACTGGACTTTCTTGTTTTTTTCCTTTGTAGGACAACAGTTACAAAGAACACTGGGTTTATTTGACAGTCAGGATTCAGGTTGGGCACAGGATTGAAATCATATGGGTTGCTCTCACTGATGACTTGTGATGGGATAGCGTCAGCCCAATAAGAGAGATCAGAGCAAGAAATCAACTCTATAGGAAGGCGAAAATTACTTTTACTGATTATGTGACCAAAGTATCTCACAAATATGATTATGTTGCACCTCTCCTCCTTTTTATATTTCTGTAAATTAAGGAGATGTCTGAGTTACTACTGAAGAGTAAATTTATAATTGTACTGTAAGGAAGATGCTACTTCTTTGCCCCTTTTTTCTATTTTTCTTTTTCTTCCTTCCTTGCACTTTTAGCTCTGTCTTTGATTTCTTTTTCTTTTTTCTTCCTCCATATTAATTTGTAGTAGTTTTTATTTTTGTTTTAAAAACTTTAAATACAATTATATTAAAATTATTTGTATGTTTATAAACTGCCCAATTGTGGAACAGGGGGTTTACAATAAACTTTTTTTTAAATGAAATTCTGAAAAGGCAAAGATAGTATGAGGATGGAGAGCTAGCAAATTAATTGAATTGAAATATGCTTTGCACTAATCTGGATTCTTGTTTTTAAAACTACACGAAGAGATGATTGGGAACAAGACCACCTGGGTTAGAGAGAATAATTTGTCCTTCCTTAGTAAAAATAACTAGAAAGAAGATTGTTGGCACTATGGAAAAAAGGGGTTAAATTACATCATCTCGATCGTTGTCCTGCCAATCATCTTCCTGCTGCTTTTTGCCACTGTATTCTCATTAAGGGTTTAGACTTGATGAGACACTTTTAATATAATGGGTTGGACCCATATTTAATCATACAGTTTTTGGAGCAAATCTATTGAAATCATCTTATTGAAATCACTGTTTTTCAAAAATGGAACATTAGATGTGTAGACTTCAACTCCCAGAATTCCCCAGCCAGCATGCCGGGGAATTGAACTCCATAGATCCTTAAAGCTGACAGCTTGAAAAACACTCATCCAGATGTTATCATTTTTAATCCAGACTTGTAGCTTGCCGAGTGTGCAACATATCCTTGAGATGCTCCCTGATTCCCCAAAGGCTTTTGAAAGCTTTCAGGATGCCTTGGGGTAAGGAAAGTTCCCGAACACTTAGTTATTGAGAGGGGAGGAACACTTCCCAACCTTGAATTCAATTATGCATTGTACATAATCAGTATCCCAGCAGGAATGTTTTAAATAAAAAGCCTTTCTGAATGAACAGATAGTTTTCTCTTGCCTATTGTGGTTGGATGCGTTTCTATACCACCATAACCACCAACAGAGTTACTTTTATTCCTGCAGCATCCCAAAATCTGTTTCCCTTGCTAGTATGTGTCAGGAACATGGGCAAAGAGCGTTTATAGAGGAAATGAAAGTGGGAAGGAAAGAGTTATCGGATCTACATTACTGCTTTTTTTCAGGCACTTCTCCCAAAGCTGCTTTTCCTTTAAAAACTGCCAATTGCTGAAACCATGTCCCTGTTTTTCTGCGCAGCCAGTTGAAGGCTCTTAAGTGAGAAACTGCTGTATCAAAGGTTTTGTTAGAAAGTAAAAATCTTTCTCTTTTTCAATCAAAATCCAGGCATCTTCAAACTATCTATCTTCTGAACAACTTTGTGCTTCTGAAGAACAAGTTCAGCTCCAGGTGGCTTTGGACAGCAACAATATACATTCTCCCTAACCCCCTTCTTTCCATTTCAAGGTGCTGGGGTCTTGAATATTAACAAATTTCAGCAGCCACGTGGCTTGCCTCTTACATGATCTGAATAACAAGAAATGTGTTTTCAAAAATCCCCCAGAAAAGAAAGGAAGGGGGGGAATGGGGGGGGGGGAGAGAGAGAGAGAGAAAGAGAGAGATCACTGCTAATTTGCATATACTTTCCCTTCAAAAGAAATGTTCCAGTTTCAATTAACTAATTGGGATGAAGAAAATAAGCTTTAGTCACAAATTAATAGCTCCCAATTGCTGCACAAAGAACTACATAGTACTGACAGAAGGCAACAAATCATAACTTTTGAAGGGGTCTCTATATCACTTGTAGTTGTTTTTTCCCAAAACATTATGGCTGTTGTGTTACAGTACCAAAACACACCTTTAAAGAATCTAAATGTAGCTTATGTTGATTGAACAGCAATATATTTTATAAATCAGAAGGACGTGTTTCATGCCTTGTGTAACCAGTTGTTGAGTTCAGCAGTCCCCAGGGAAACAAGACGCCTGAGGGAAAAGATTCAGCAGCCTTCTCTTGTCTACATCTTCAGCTTTGGAACAGACCCAAAATGACTTTAATCTCTATTGGACTAGACATTGCTGGGGTGATGTTTGTAATCCCAGAAGTCAACCCTGAGCATCAACACCACCTGACGTCTCCAGGGACCACAAAGAGTCAAAGAAGCCAATATTGTTAATGCAAAAAGTCTTAATGTTTACTCCTTTTTAAAAATATTGGGAAGGAATTATACCTAGGAACTGATTGGTTGTGAATTAAGAATGGTTAATAGTTTCTCAGATCAGATCACACATTTTTTACAAGAGTGTTCATACCTTAATTATTAAGGAATATTGCAGTCTGGGACAGAGTTATATAATAAAGGGAAATGATACAAAAAGGAACAAAGTACACCACAGAAAAATATCATTATTTAAAAGAAAATCAGAATTTTCTTAGCTGCAAGAATGTTGATGGAATATGGATAATTTTCATATGCATTTAATACATCAGGCAGTTTTTTAATACTCTCCCTTTAATAAGCAAAATGTTTACGTTTAAGTTTGTGAAGGATTCTTTAAAGTAGGGGTGTCAAACTGGCGGCCCCGTGGGCCATATGCATCCTATGCAGGCCACGCCCATCTCAGCTGCACGAAGGAGAAAAATATCGCGAAACGTCACGTGATGGCAACGTGACGTGGCGAGCTTGACACCTGTACTAAAGTAGGGGTTCCCAATCTTAGCAACTTTAAGACTTGTGGACTTTCAACTCTCAGAATTCTGGGAGTTGAAGTCCACAGGTCTTAAAGTTGCCAAGGTTGGAGACCCCTGCTTTAAAGTATTGAATTTTTTTATAACATCTTCCATTACCTGTTTTTCATTATTATAAATAGGTGAGTTTTTGAATCTGCACTTGGTAACCGCACTTGGATGGGGTTATAAGAAAGCTTTGCAGCCAGGGACCTGATTTTTGAAATTGAGGAGCTGATGACAATATGACTTGCCCATCTAGGAAGTGGATGAATTATATTCTTTACAAATTGTCTGTCGAGAATATGAACAGGAAAGGAATTCAATAATGAGATTAGATACGGGAGGGATAAAATGCCTTATTGCCCTTCTCCACCTGACTGAACTCCAGGATCATGAGTTAGTTGTTCTTCATCTTCGGTGGGTGGTCGGTTTCTCTTGAAAAAACCTGTCTGTCGAAGAAACGATAGTGGAGAAAATAGAGTGAGTAAGAAACAAGTCTCTTTAGGCAAGAAGAAGTTTCTCACAGGTGGATATTTCTTAGATGGCTAAAATACACCATACAAAGCTATATGTTTATTTAGCATATTAACTGAAGAGCCCAGAAACGAAGCTAGGGTGCCTTTCAACTACTAACTATCTTAGCAATCTCATAACTTTCAACTATTTATTTATTTTAAGGAACAAAAGGAAAGTCGTCTGTTCAATCCTTTGTTCAGACCCATCAAGGCCGTTTCTATTCCAAAACTAGATTGGAATGGGCAGTCAGAGGGGATAGTCCTAGGACAGGATCGTTTGTTACCCTCCTTAACTTTACATTGCTTTTTATTTTCTGTTGCTTACAGATAAACTTATGCAACCAGCAGAGATAAGAAATTTCATCAGCTATGTTCTCCGGATTACTTGATGTATCCCTGGCTACCTTGCAGATGCAGACTCTGGCTTGCTCACTCAAGGACAGCTGCAAACATGAAGAGGAATAGCTTTGGATGTTTGCATCCTGTGCTTTATAGTCAGGCTTCCCTGCCCAGGGTTTCATGTACCTTCCAAAGAACAATAATGGAGACTGCAAGGAGGAGAAGTCCCACCAACACAGCTGTTACAATCCACCATATAGGGATGTCTCTCTCAGCATCAGGGTTCACCCATTCCACCAGTGTTTTAGCCTGTGAGCAGCAGGAAAGAGATAGGAGAAAGAAAACCAGATGAATTAACAGGTTGATACTTTAGTGCAAATTGGCAGAGATTTTGTAGCCTAGAAGAAATAATAAAATAGTGATTTTTCATTCCCAACCCATACCTGCAAGTCTGCTAAAAGACGGAACTGCACGTATGTTTTGGAGGGAAGATTTTGCTAAATTGTTATTACTCTGCCAATCATATCTTGTATTAGGAAGATGAAATATCATTTTGCCTCTACAAATAATCCATTTGCTTCCCCTTTGTAAGGCCAGGAAGTCTTCAACAAGATGACTGAAACTTCAGAATAAAGGTGTTCTTCATATTTCAAATCCTCAAGTTTTGGAAACATACTTGCCCAATTAAGATTAAGTGGGAAACAGACTAATCAGAACCTTCATGGTTTGAGATCATTAACAGAAGGACAAAGGGCTGCACATGTGAATAAAGGACCACTGATAACCTCAGGTTAGTAACCATAATATAGTCATCCATACGAGCACAATATTATTTAATTCTCCAGGGGTCAGCAACTTTCCAGAACTATCCAGGAATGAATAAGATAGTGCTCTAGATTTCTAAAATGGAAATATTTCAGAGAAATATTCTACTAACTTTCAGTCCACCTCTAGCACTTTCAGCATTCAAGTTACAATTTATAGATTATAGAGGAAGAGGGGGAGAGAAAGAAAAGGGTCATACCAGGCAGGTTAATATTTAGCGCTGAATGTATTAAATTAATAAATGCTGTGATTAAAAAAAAAGGTTTGCTTTTCAAAGCCAAAATTCAAAGCCTGTTGAACATTTATTGATATTGATGGAAAGCTTCACATTTGCTAATAGTGCTGGTAATCCTGAAATATTGCAGTGTGGACTTACCAGGGCAGCTCCACTGGGTAGAGCCTCTGGCTGAATGTTGTAAGGCATCCCTGTGGCAATAAACTGGGCCCGGGATTGGATATGAAGCTGCTTTGGAAACTGCTGTGTAAGAAGGAAGTAACATGTGTGTGCTTCATTAATACATGGAGTGGGAGAAGGCAGAAAGAGGTTAAACATTTGCTGCTTCCCCGAATATCTACTGGCTTATCACCTGCTCTAAGATCTAACACACTGATTGCAGTAGCCTAATCTATATATATAAAAGCGAAACACCACTCACTCATCATCACAAAATCTCCAGAACCGTAAACCTTACAAACTTGAAATTTGGCACATATTGTTCTTGGCTTCTAGGTGCTCACTAACAAAGGATTTTTGGAAATGACCCTTAGAGCATTAGTATTTCGTATATTATTATTAACACGCTCTGACGCTAAGGCGTTCTACTCCCCCTCCCCACCCGAAAAGAAATGTTCCAAATGCAAAACACAAGCCGAGGAGAGGAGTTTCAGTTTTAGTTTCACAGCAGCAACCAGCAACCAACAGAACAATTGAGCTAAGCCACACCCAGGCTACTTGCTGTCTCCTTGCTCACACAACAAATACTGTTTCAGTTTCCAAACAGCCCTCAACTCTCACACACTGACAGGATGCTACCCAGATGAATACTGATGGATGCTGGTAGGCAGAGGCACATTTTTCCCCCTTATTTTCCTCCCCAAAAACTAAGCCCGATCACATAGCTTCGTAGCAAAGCACGGGTATAGCTCTAGTGTGATATAAAACAACAATCCTATATGATAGGTTAGACTGCAAGACTCAAGATCAGTTATGGAATACCTTGATTGGGGAGTTCTGTCTAATTTATTTTTACTTCAGTCCTTTAATCACAGTGATATATTGCACTTACAAACCTCTACGTTCACCCACCAACTACATCCTGTCCTATGATTGTTATTCTTTCAGCACCACAGCCTTCAATGTTCAAAGGGCTTCTGTTTATTCATGCGACTACTCCACTCTTTCTCATTTGTTACCTCTTATGCTTGGATCTGCCTGCTTTTTTTTTTTTTTACTTCAGATTGCTCCTCGGGCCGATTTTTCCTTAAAACCTTGGGCACAGCTCTCTAGTTCCCATGGCCTCCTAACAGGATACATGTAAAACTCAAACCATCCCATTGTTTCTCCATTTACCCTGCTGTCTCTTCTTTTTGTGTTGATCCTGCACTGAATGTTTTATTGTCAGTCCCATGAGACAAGTACCTATCCTCTTGGATGCCACGAGACGTTTCAACATTCTGACAACACACTGAGTAAACTGTGTCCCTTGATAAGCTAGTGGGATACTTCATCTTTCTTAGCAAGGCTTTGATTTAGCAGATCAGATCTTCCAAGGAGGGATATAAATTGGACTATTAAAATATAATTTCTTACCTCCTGGAAACTGGGCAGCCACAGTACTGATTGAATAGTCACCATAGCTCCATGGTCTCTCTCCAGGGTTCCCACCTGGCAGTAAATAACAGCACACAGCTGGCTGCTACAATTCTGAAGACAGAAAGGATTAAATGTTTTAAAATAAAGTTTTTTGAAAGTATGATCGAATGTAGGATATATATCTGATCAAGAATGCAGTCTATACTCTTAAGTGTATCATCCAAGCTGGGTGCTATAGAACATGACAGAATTCTGGTTGTGTCAGCCTGTCTCTGCAGACAGATGTTTATCACCATGCCCAACTCCTATGATTTTCAGAAAATCCAGACATTCTCATCTTGTAAATTTCCCTTTCATTCCTGCTGCTTTTTCCATCTTTTCTTTTCAGGAAAAAAGGTCCTTGCAATGACTTTTCATCCATAATAATAGAAAATATAAACTTGTGATAGGAAGGAGAGGTTGCAGAAAAGAAAAGAAAAAGTCTTCTGTGTTCCCCTACAAGAGAATCTTTGCTGTACTGGCAGAAGAGCCAGGATAGGGAGGGAGTGAAGGAAGGAAGGAAGGAAGGAAGGAAGGAAGGAAGGAAGGAAGGAAGGAAGGAAGGAAGGAATCATGAAATGACATCAAGCCACAAAAGCAGAACTAAACCAAGCCAAGGCAAGCAGCAGCCCTTCCAGACATGAACAGCTGACTGAGGGGAGAGCTGATATTTTCTATTACTGTGGATCAAAAGTCATTGCGATGGACTTTTTTGGGTGTGTGTCTGTGAAAAGTACAGTAACACAACAACCAATAATCGCAATTGGCTCTTGCAACCCCACATCACAGTGGTGAGAAATAAAAAGCAAGGGCATCTGCAAGATAAGTTAAAATAACCAAGAGGGGAGGGGAGGTGTGATTCATGTAACTGAAGTACTTTCCCTTTCTGACATGCATCATACAATTCTGTCCCAATTTTTCCTCTAGGTCATGACTGAATGGAAATCAGAGATCCCTTTACACACTCCCTGTCTATAGTACTCCCTACAGTAGTGCGGAAAGATGTGCTGTAAAAGAAAGAAAGCGATGCTACAGAGACTTTCACAGGCATTGTGCGTAAGTGACTGTAAACTTGCAATTCAAATCTTCTCTGAACAGCATAACAACAGCAGAAGAAAATTATGAATCAGGAAAATCAGGACACTAAAAAATGATTCTAAATCAGGAAAACTGGGACACTGGAAACTCCATGGAGGACAGGAGAGAAAAAGATGGTTGCAGATGATGAATCCGTTCTATGTTTTGCTTCATATAGAAACAGGACAGCATAGAGGAGGAGAAGTCATGGTGAGAAATAATTGCACTAGTAAATTGAACACTCCCTTTCGCAGCAGAAGTGTGAACATCTACCATGTAGTAATATTTTGGATTTCAGTGGTAAAAAAAATTTTTTCTTAGGAAAAATTATAGATGGGGAAGTAGATGTGGATTAGAGATGAAATAGCTTTTGCATCACAGAATATGCAAGTTTAAGTAACCAAGGAGAGGTGGGAAGCCTCACAGTTTCCACGTCTGTTTTAAGAACAAGTTCCCCCCTTAATATTTCAAATTGAAATAGTATGTGGTTATGCTTAATATTTATGGAATTGTAATATATAGAATACTTATGTCATTTACTTTCAGATCAACACTGCAGGATACAGACTGGGGTCAGTAAGTATCTCATTTATGATCTCATAAATCACGTTTATGAAGAGCAAAGAAATGGGACTCAAGTCCAGTGTCAAATGCTTTGGATTACCCTGTGAAATTTAAATAACGAAGAGCCCTGATGCAGTCTCTGAGCATTTCCCTGGCAAAGACTTACCACCTCAATAGGTTCCTTAAATGTTGAAAAGTTGACATCACGCCTCTCATGCCAATCCCATGAAGGGATAGTCAGATTGCCGGGAGCAATTGTGGGGTCCTGGATTTTTAGGTATGATGAAAAAAAGACACTCAGTTATGATTTACTTCTCTCTCCTTGCTTCCTGTATGCCTGCTTTTATGACAAATAAAATGTTAAGGACTTCCTCAATGGACAGATGATAATATGTTTATTATTAAGGAGACAAGTTCTTTGTCGCATAGTACTCTCCCATGCTGAATTTGAAAATTTGAAATTGAAAACATGATAGAAAAATATATTATAATAGAAAAAAACATTATAATAGAAAAATAGCTAGCTTTCCTTACTAATGCTTTGTTCAATGTACTGTACATATAATATGCTAAATCACAACCTATTGCATATCAGAGTGATTGGGTTGATACAACACACTCAGTCAAAATCCAATATGCCCCATTATGCTTAGTTCAGGATAAAAAGTGATACCATAATTGATAATTTTGATACAAATTTTAGCAAGTGTTTCAGATAATCAGTGGTTCTGCATGAGGAAGCATAATATCTTAACTTTCCTGAGCAGCTTTAAATACCTAAAATAAATACCTAAAATAAATTTTAAAAATCTTTCCAAAATTAGAACAAATCAAGCGAGGCTATAGTATGATCATCACAGCCTGTGCGTTTTCCCTTTTCTTCATTCTCTGACTCAAATTCTGGTTGCCATACATGTATGCAATCATCTGGAACTTTTGAAGACAAAATTTGCAGACTGTCAAGAGAAGAGCCATTTGTAGATACTGAATGTTGGTAATTTCCCCAGAACCTCTCAATTTCTTCCAATCAGATTGCAGCATTAAATATTCCTGATAGCAAGCAGGTTATGCCATAGGTCAATCTCATTAAATTAAACACACTATAACTAATCCACTGTACTCTTGATGAGCTCTTGATGACAGATGTCTTTCCATTATCAACTTTTCGAATCCTTATCCTGAATGTTCCATGGATTAATTCATGGATGCAAATGAGATGTTCTAACATTGTGGAATAAGTCTTTGTTTCCTGTTGTCCCTCCAGATAGTCCTACCTTTGGTGGGTTGGTCTCATTTGTAGATGAACAGATTATGTTGCCTTCTGTGCTAACTCTTGTGATGTAAAGCAAGAAGCCTTTCCAGAAGTGACTGGGGAAATGCACATGCAGATCAGCTCCAGAAACTGTGCTAGGGCCTGCATTATGCAACTGGAGAATGGTTGTGGGAGGTAGACAGACATGGAGAAAGAAAAAAGAGATCTGTAATAAGGAAAAGTATCAGCATTGGGCTAAAACTTCCGTATTTCCAATTTATGTATCTTTCTTGATACCCGATAGATATGCTCTATTTTTGGTCCATATTCATAAACTTCATTGCTCTTGTTCTTAAAGTCCTCAAGAGTCCATGAGACCACAGTCGCAGCTGGTATAGAGATTCTGGGAACAAAAAGCACAAAATACATGAATTAAAAATCCCTCTTATCAGTCCAACTGATTAAAGAAATAATCTGCACTCACAAAAAATAGTATTCTAAAGGAAGAGGTTGAGCAAAATAGCTTATACTCACCCAAACAGCTCTACCTGTGCATCAACCTTGAGTGGCACCTGCAACCGTTTTATATTGCTGTTGGGGTTCAGGGTATTCTTACTGCAGAAGAAATTTGAGGTTATGATGAAGATGTCAGAATGGTTCTCCCCTTTGAGGCATCCCCAACAATTTTTTACAGTATTGGAACATTCAAATCAATTTGAATAAGGGATGGAAAAGTGTTGTGATAGGAAAGCTATCTACAGAAAATGGTGGGTGAGTGGATGGATAGGGGAAACAAACAAGACATTGAAAAAAGGGCATTAACTCATGTACACATATTCCCCCCACACACACACACCCAGCTGAATACTGATAAATATATTACAAGGATATTAGTTTCCCATCCCTTGAGAAACAGGCTCCATAAATAACTCTATTTGCAGATTATTAACCTGTCATCTACCATGTTTCCCTCAAAACATGACCTACCCCAAATAAGCCCTAGCCTGACTTTTGGGGATGGGCGTAATATAATCCCTACCCCAAAAATAAGCCCTAGTGAAGGGGGCATGGCCAGCGCAGGAGGCAGTCCTTCCCTTCCATGGTCAACTCATGGATGCTTGGCTCCGTTATCATGGCCTGCAGATCAGCTGAGCCAGCAAGGGCTGGGAGCTGCCTCTCATTCTGTCTCTCTGTGGAGGCCTCCCAGTGCAATGCTCTGCCAAGCAACCCTCTGCCTTCGCTGAGCAGGATTGCAAGGTTGAAGGCTTCAGAGGGAGCATTTTTGGGATGTGCATCTGTGCAGAGCTCCCCAAGGATAGAACGATTGGCAGGAAAATGGGAGGGGAGGACTTTTCTGCTGATCGGAGCAAAGCAAAGCCTCCAACCTTGCAATCGTTTGCAGGGAAGGCGAAGGTATGCTCTAAAGCTGGAGCAGAGTGTTGCATCAGGAGACCTCCACAGGTACTGATAGCATTTCTGAAATGTTAACTTTTAACACCGTACTCACAGGAAAATCCCCCCCTCCATCATGGTTTGATTTGCTTTCCATGAAGCTTTGTGTTGAGAAAGGTCCGTGTTTTCTCATTCACTTCTCCGCCCCTCCTCTGGCTGTCCATCTCAGCTTTCACAGACAACTGTCCGCCAGGCGAGGTGGAGGTTTGCTCAGCAGAACATTGCACTAGGAAGCCTCCACAGAGAGACAGAATGAGAGGTAGCTCCCGGTCCTTACTGACTCAGCTGATCCGCAGGCCATGATTACGGGGCCAAGCCTCCATGAGGTGACCGGGAAAGGTAAGGGCTGTCTCTTGTGCTGGCAGTGGTGGGCAAGGCGGCACAGGCAGCATGGTTCCACTGGCAGCCACTCACGAAGGGGCCCTGGCAGGCTGATGGCGCTCAGGAGGTTTTTGGAGGTTTCAATCAGGGCTTGGTGGTAGACTGGGCCGGGTAGAAGTGAGGTGGCTGCAGAGCCTCTGCAGGTGAGGCAGATGCCAAAGGCTGTAATGATTGGTAATATAGTTAAGTGAATAACAACAACCAAAAGCAACCATGCTTCTTGAAGGCGGCAGCCTGAGTGGCACCCCCAAATCAGTTTTCCATGGAGCAAGTTGCTTGTAAGACCATTAGGAAAGGAGGTGAAAGGCAGAAGGGGCAACTTGCCCCCCCCGCCTCCCGGTACATGGGGAAAACAAATAAGACCTCCCTGAAAATAAGACCTGGAGCTTTTTTGGGTGGCCCAAAAATATAAGACCTGGCTTATTTTTGGGGAAACACAGTATCTATTATATTAATGACAAAATAGTTAACAGGAAGAACAATAATAAAAAAGCAAGATTAAAATTTTAAAGCCCTCTGTTAACAAACTAGTATTGTAATCAACTCGTAGAAAGTTTACCAAAGTTTAGGATAGATTCTTTTTTTTTTAAATAATTTTTTTATTAATTTTCAATAAACAAACATACACAAACAAAACACAAAACATGAAAACATAAAACTTCTTTTTGGAAAGCGGCTTAGTCCCGGGTTACATCTTTTTGTACAGACATAAATCAAATTCATGCTCACTTTATATACCATTTCATATCTTATTTACCATTCTACATTTTCTATATAGCTTCTCCCCTCTTTTCACTCTCTTAATTCTATTTTATTTATTTCAGCTCAATTTAAATCATTATACTTGTATCTTTTGTCTGTTCTATTTCTATTATCTTTTCTCATTAGCACAAAATTTCTCCTGTAATCACTGATTGAAGTATGACGCCTTTATATCTTTCCCCTAAATTTAACACTTAAAATAATATATAATTTTCATTCTGATTCTGCTTAGTACATTCTAAAGCTATGTACTATATTTTAAAATAAGAAAATAATAAGTTTATAATATAATTAAAACAATGATCCATAGCAAATTAAACTATCATTAAATCTTAAGCATTTTACACATTCCTTTTAATATTTTATCCCATTTTATAATCATATAATGTTCCAGTTTTCTAACATTATTTCAAATACAAATACAACAATAGTCTTATGTATTTTTGCAGAATCTCTTTTTTAATTATATTTTTACCCATTATCTCTGAATAAATCCTGTTTCTTTACATCTTGTTTCAAACTTTTGTAACTTCTCTTCCCCCTTTCCCTTCCTTTCTCCTCCAATCTAGCCTTTTTACCCCCCCTCCTGTCTCTTGATCTCCACCCTCTTAATCTCCACCCTCTTCTGTATTCCTCTTTTCTGTTGCTTTCTGACATTGTATCGATTTTTCACCTTATTTTTCGCTTTTTTGGTTGTTTTTTTAAGTCTTAAATTCTCCATTCTCTTTCCCCTCTTTCCCTTTTCTTCCCCAGCTAAAGTTGTTTGTTCATTAAAGATGGCTTCTTCTTCTTCATCCCAACCTTCTTGTTCTTGTAATTTCTGATAGGTAGAAATCGCCATTTCTAAGAAATGAAAAACAGATCCAGAAGAGCCCTTCCCTTCTTGTTCCTCTTCTTTTAGCTTTTTAAATTCCATTTTCAGTTCATCAACAAATAATGCCATTGTGAAAAATTTTTAAACAACCCAAATGTTTTTAGTCTTTCAAATAATAATTTTCAAAGGTCCCAAAGTCACCAAGCAATCCAAATAGACACAAACTGTTTCATTTAGCACTTTCTTCTTTTTATACTTTCTCTTCCTGGGGTACAGTTCAATTGCAAAGTTCCAAAGTATATCTTTTAGAAGTCTTGTTACAATTTAACTGATCTTATAAGTTCCAAGCACCCTCCTCCAGCAAAATCTTAATATTAATTCTTTTCCTCTCCCTTCCCACTTATAGCAAAAAAAAATTTTTTTTTTAAATTCCAATGTTCAGAAATCTTTAATGTCCCCTTGGCTTTAATTTTCAAATTTAATTACCTGCTGGTGCCAAAATGGGTTTTTCCGATTTCCATCTGCTATCACCGTAAGGAAGGAGAGTGAAAAAAAAAACTTTCCCTTTTAACTTTCATCCGCCGCTTTTTCCGATCTTCGTTGGGAACAATGTATCCTTAATAAAATTAAAATTCCAGGGTATTTAAATGTTACTTGTTATCCCAGTTCAGCCAAAAACTTTCACTTTCTCAGCTTCCTCCTGCACATTCTTGTCTGGATGAAAGCTTCTTTGTGGCAGCCATTGCTGACCGCCGCTCCACCGCTTTTGGAAAAGGGAGTTAAGCCAGCTGAGGAGGGGGGTTGCGATTCCCCCGGACCCCTGCTGGATCTCCCCTGTCTTCAGTTACCTCTACGGGGTAACTATTAGCCCCCAAATCCGGCTGGATCGGGGGCACTCCAGCGGCGAGCGCAGCAGGAACCGCACATGATCGCGGATTCCTGCCGCCGCCGAAGCCGTGCAAATCGGAACTCCCCAAAGTTTAGGTTAGATTCTTATCTATCCTAAATATCCCACAGTTAACACTTATTCATCCTGGATCAAATGTCCACATTTGTTTTTAATACCATCTCTTAACAATTGTTGTCTAGTTAAATATAATAAAGTTATTTTCCAAAGTTGATTTATCTTCCCAAAGAGTCCAAATGAAATTGTTTTCCATTTAAACATTATAAATTCAGTTCATAAATGATAAACTCCATCGGTTTTCTGCTGTTGTAAAGGAATGCGGGCTTAAACTTCAAGAAGACATGTGCAATCCACTCAGTTAAAAATCTGTAAGATCCATATTTCTTTCAATCTTCCTCACAGAATCTGCCACTTTTAAATAAAATTCTTTTTGTGAATCTGATTTGTCTAAAGTTATTTGCATCTAAATATATTTCATAACCATTATCATTTCATCAAACATCTTAAAACTTTCAACTAGGGATTGTACATTATCAAACAGCCTTTTTTCAGCTGCCAGCCATATATGCCTGTCTGTAATTTGATCCATTGTTGCTCTGTGTAACTTAGCAACAATGGATAAGAGAACAGAAGGAAGAGAAAATGTTGAAGAAATATTCTTCAGAGTGAAAAAAATAAATAGCAACAGCATTTAGATTGATATACTGCTTCACAATGCTTTACAATCTTCTATAAGCAGTTTACAGAGTCAGCATATTGCCCCCAACAATCTGGGTCCTCATTTTACCAACCTCGGAAGGATGGAAGGCTGAGTCAACCTTGAGCCTAGTGAGATTCAAACTGCCAAAGTGCAGGCAGCCAGCAGTCAGCAGAAGTAGCCTGAAGTACTGCACTCTAACACTGCACCATCACAGCTCATTAAGAAGCGGGGAAAATATTTTCTAGATATTTCAATCCAAAATTAAATGAATTTTTTTTTAAAAAAAAGCTCCAAACTGTTTGCAAAGTAATAAAATGCAAAATATCTGAGATGAGTGTTCAATATAGATATAAATTAAATGAAAATAGTTTCATTACCCAGAAACATGCTTTGATTTTCTTATGGAAAAGCAAAAATTATTTAAAACAACATAACTCAATGGTAAAAAGGAAAAAAAAACAGATAAAGTCCAGCAGGGAATTAAAATAGATCAACATTCAACCACTTAGTCAACTTTTAAAAATAAACAATGAAATGAAATGGAAGCTTCAAAAAGTAAAGTTAAAACTCAGCTAAACTTAAGAAAAAGAACTGCTGAGAGGAAAGATGGATGACCACTGACTTCCCGATTGCTTCAACAACAGTGGAACCCCTGCCACAGGGAACTGCAATCTTTAAGACTCTTTTCCCACAAGGGTTCATGGCTGTCCAAAAGCCATCTTGGGCCATTCCTAAATGCTCCCATTCAAATCCAGGGAGCAGTATTGCCAAATAGTCAACTTTGGCAGCAAAATCAGTATATTGTCAACAGGAAAAAGTACAGTATATTGTCAACAGGCAAAATCAATATATTGTCAACAGGAAAAAGAAAAATTCCTTTATCATTCAGCAGCTATCCTGAGGGAGGAATATCAGTATTTAGATAGGGAGGATAATCTGTGTATATGGGTTCATGTATTTTTAATGCACTTTTTTTCTATGTCTTATTTGTTTTGTGTGTTATTTTTGTATTATTGTATTTTAATTTTTAAAAAAAATAAAATAAAAATAGATACAAAAAGATACACTCTGCCTTTTGGTTGGAGAGTGCTGAAGGATGCTAGCACAATAGCAGTTCCAATTTAGCACCACCAAATCTGCCAGGATTACAATTTTCGTGGAAATGTGTTGGATGATAATGGCTTAGAATCCAGAAGTTGTAGTTTATTTGAGAAGCTCCAGATTAAAAATAGAAATTGTTTTCAGAGATTAAACCAGTGAGGTATGGCTGAGTGTTACCTCTTGAGTTGCAGCACAAAGACAATGCTACTATTGGCATCTTCTAACTGGCTGATACTTAGTTCCAAATCCAATTTGATCTGTAAATAATAAAGAAAAGTGAGAATGATCACATTAAAATCAAGGAGAGTTTAAGACAGATGGGGTAAGAAAAAAACAACTTTTTTTGTTTGCTTTGTGCTACAATTTCTCAATAACTTACCTATCTTCCAGTAGACGCTAGACTATGGATTTATTTGTGGTATAATATGAATCAGATAAGACCTGTGACAATAATTCTGCTTACTAAAACACATACAATTTAGTAACTGCCTTTTTATGTGTTAATCAAAATATATTAGTAACAATTCTGTTCTGTTTATATGAAAAAAATAAAAGTGCCATGCATTGGTGGAAAAAGAATTGGTTTTGTTTACATATCATTCAGTTCTATTTACCAAGTTAAAGGAAATGTAGTATAATTTTGTGTATTATATGGAGAAAAACATTTTTCATTCCTTTCTAGATTTTTGCTACTTTTTCAGACTTCAGAGCAAACTTGAAAACAAATCCATTTTAGAAATTAATCCCCTACCTCTGTGTGAGATTTCATTGGGTTGCCCACTTCACAAGCCACCAATTTGGTTTCATTCTCCTTGCGGAAATTACAGCTCAGTTTCTGCAGGCAAAAGGGATGGAGTATGTTCAAGTATATTTAACCTTGAAAGACTGAATCAGCAGTATGACAAAATGAATGGAAGGATTTTCATACTATTCTACTCAACTGGAAAGGTGGTTTCTAGGTCATCAGAGCCCCCTTTGAAGCAAAACTAAGTTTGTTGTATTTGGTAGCAGATTTTCTCACCCATTTTAGCACAAAACAAATCAAAGTCAAAGAAAGATTGTTAAATCTCAGAAAAGTAGATTATACCTTTAAATGTTGTTTCCAGCTGCAAAAAAATCCTAGATGGCTTTGAATTAGGATATTTGCAACAATAGCAGTATAACTGAAAGACACTTGCAGAGTATGGTCATACCCACAATCTGAGCACTGTTATAAGGCACAATTCTTTAGTATACAACAATTGATTTTAGACTTTCACAACCAAATGTACTGCATATAATTAAACATATCCAAATTTATTTATTTTTATTTATTTATATTTTCTATTTCTTAATCATCCCTCAGAGGCAAGGGGATGACCAACAGAATGATCCAACTTGGTAAATCTGAGCTTGCAGCCAACTCAGGGTTGACCTGTGACCACAAGAAGCAAAAAAATGTAAATATTTTTAGGAAATAATGTTTAAAACACACTTTTATTTTTCTTGGCTTAATTTTGTAAGAGGCATAAAAGATTATAAGACTGCATTTTTGGTCAAAATTTAGCCACAGTGACAAAACCTTTTATCCATGGTGGGTAAATTGGCCTTCAGATAATCCTGAATTACAGTTCATAGCAACTTTAGCCAAAATGCCAAGTAGTAACTGACACTGGAAGCTAAAATTCAACAATCGTATCTGACCACACCTGAGCACTGCTGTTAGCTCTTTGGAAGTAAGCCCCAAATGGCAGCTCCACTATTAACTCAGTTTCATAGGCTCCTTCTCCAGCATTTGTTGCTGTAATCTGGATGATAACCACATTCTCAGCCCCAATAAGCAGGAAAGTTTCATTCCTGAGACATAACAACATAAAAAGGAAAGAGTACCGTATAATGGTTTTATTATGCTTTTGCATTAGGAATTAGAATATTACAATTGGCGGGGCAAAATTGTGGATTGAAGTTTGAATGTGCAGCAAGGTCAATTGGAAGACTGGGTGGAAGCTGAAACATTTTTTTGATTAGAAAGGACATATTTCACCTTCCCACTCATTTATTAATTTAAGAAAATGAATGGCACATGATTCTTGAATTGTCTGAAGGAAAAGGAAGATGCAAAATTCAGCAACATTTTTTTACATGTCTACATTGTACTAAAGATCTGATTGTCTCACCCAGATTATTAAGAATTACATGGACACTGATGAATATATATAGAAATATTTGGTAAATCTGAGCTTTCAGTCAACTCAATCATCAGAACATATTTTACTTGCAGTGTCTTAACAGTGTTAATTGAAACTATAAGTATCATATTCACTGACAAATTTCTGGTATCACAAAACATTTGAGGGTACCTTAAGGTTATGGTCATTATATTTCTTTTGGAATAATGTTATACAATATGATTACAGATTGGAAAAATGTTGATTTTTAAAGATACTCGTATTAAACATATTGTAGTATGTTCCAAATAAAGATGATTTTTTGTGTACTAGGAATAGCAAAAAGGAATTAGCAGAAGGAAAAATACTATATTTAAGATCTCATAATACTTATGAGATGAAAAAATTCTATAACCCCAGATGTCATGGATTGGATTCCAGCAATGTGTGATTTAGCAATTCTTGAGAAAATTATATATATTGTCAACTGGAAAAATGTCACATTATTTCTTCCTTTGAAAAAAAAATATTGGACAGGTTTGATGAACATGAAAGCTTAGTGCCTCCTTTTAAAGACTTCAGATGAACTTGGAGTATATTTGTAATTACAAATATGGTTTCTTGTTTCTATGTTTTCTTTTGTTGTGATTTCATTTTCATTGCTTGGGGTGAATTGTTCATTTTATATTATATATAATTTAAAAATAGACCAATAAAATTATTCTTAAGGACCATAATAAAAATTTAGAAGGACCTTTGTCCTTTTCATAAACTATAGCAATAGCATTTAGACTTATATACTGCTTCACAGTGCTTTACAGGCCTCTCTAAGCAGTTTACAGCATCAGCATATTGCCTCCAACAATCTGAGTCCTCATTTTACCGAACTCAGAAGGATGGAAGGCTGAGTCAACTTTGAACCAGTGAGACCCAAACTGCAAAACTGCTGGTAGCCGCTGATTAGCAGAAGTCGCCTGCAGTGCTGCACTCTAACCACTGTGCCACCACAGCTCTAAGGTCACCTCTGCAATTTGGTGACATGTTGTACTATTGGAGGTTTATGGAAATCCTACAAAAGATGGCTGTCCAGAATTGCTTTCTGTGAAATTGGTAGCCATGTAAATATGTTTAATAAACTAAATAATAAAAGGCACAGAAAAATTACAAACATTATCAGCGTATTACTATGCTTTTTTTCTCAGCCCTCAGCAATTGTGGCCAACCCAATCTAAACTACTGGTGCTTACGTGCGAGCAGAGAGTTTGAGATCTGGAATGCAGATGTTGTCTTTTCCACAATCTAGAATGATGCGGGTCTGTGAATAAGAGGAAACCTAAACAGCTATCACTGAACAAATAGCAAATATAATTTGGAGGTGAACAATAACTGCTACATACACAACCCATGCTATTCTGTGTTATTCCTAGCTAAGGAATACATAAGAAAATCCCTTCAATCTAGAGATAAGAAGATACCAGATATGAAAATTCAGAGCACACAGAATCTCTTACTAAGTCCAGTTAACTATCTATATACCACTGCAATTGCTCATCTCTTAAATAAGATATTTACATGATAAATAAATAAAGCCAGACAAAAACTAGATCTAATTTAGATCCACCTCCTTTTGAACTGAATTAACATTATATTTATCTTTACAATTAATATGAGTAGGTCATTTCCCCCATTCTTTCACATTAAAAAATATCATTTGGTGGCAACTTTTGGAGGGACTCTGGAAGTTGCATTTAAATCCACCAGAGCCCTCAGTTTGCAAACCTTTTATGTACAAAACCTATTTCTTTTTCACGTGATAGACATAATCTCTAATTAAAAGCTGGTCTCCAAGTCCAGAAAGGACTGTTTCAATCTCTCTGTAAACAGGAACTAGCTAAATGATTCAGATTTATTTATGTTAGTAAAAAGCAACAAACGTCTCATGGCACCTCAAGACTCAACAGTGTAGTATTGTCTGTGATCTACAATTTGTAATTTGTGGAATATACACTGCTCAAAAAAAATAAAGGGAACACAAAAATAAGACGTCCTAGATCAGAATGAATGAAATATTCTTATTAAATACTTTGTTCATTACATAGTTGAATGTGCTGACAACAAAATCACACAAAAATTATCAATGGAAATCAAATTTAGCAACCCATGGAGGTCTGGATTTGGAATTACACTCAAAATTAAAGTGGAAAAAAACACTACAGGCTGATCCAACTTTGATGTAATATCCTTAAAACAAGTCAAAACGAGGCTCAGTAGTGTGTGTGACCTCCACGTGCCTGTATGACCTCCCTACAATGCCTGGGCATGCTCCTGATGAGGTGGCGGATGGTCTCCTGAGGGATCTCCTCCCACACCTGGACTAAAGCATCTCCCAACTCCTGGACAGCCTGTAGTGCAACGTGGCGTTGGTGGATGGAGCGAGACATGATGTCCCAGATGTGCTCAATTGGATTCAGGTCTGAGGAACAGGCGGGCCAGTCCATAGCATCAATGCCTTCGTCTTGCAGGAACTGCTGACACACTCCAGCCACATGAGTTCTAGCATTGTCTTGCATTAGGAGGAACCCAGGGCCAACCGCACCAGCATATGGTCTCACAAGGGGTCTGAGGATCTCATCTCGGTACCTAATGGCAGTCAGGCTACCTCTGGCGAGCACATGGAGGGCTGTGCGGCCCCCTAAAGAAATGCCACCCCACACCATTACTGAACCACTGCCAATCCGGTCACGCTGGAGGATGTTGCAGGCAGCAGAATGTTCTCCACGGCGTCTCCAGACCCTGTCACGTCTGTCACATGTGCTCAGTGTGAACCTGCTTTCATCTGTGAAAAGCACAGGCCACCAGTGATGAATTTGCCAATCTTGGTGTTCTCTGGCAAATGTCAAACGTCCTACATGGTGTTGGGCTGTAAGCACAACCCCACCTGTGGATGCCAGGCCCTCATACCACCCTCATGGAGTCCGTTTCTGACTGTTTGAGCAGCCACATGGACATTTGGACCCGCTGGAGGTCATTTTGCAGGACTCTGGCAGTGCTCCTCCTGTCCCTCCTTGCACAAAGGCAGAGGTAGCGGTCCTGATGCTGGGTTGTTGCCCTCCTACGGCCTCCTCCACGTCTCCTGGTGTATTGGCCTGTCTCCTGGTAGCGCCTCCATGCTCTGGACACTACGCTGACAGACATAGCAAACCTTTTTGCCACAGCTCGCATTGATGTGTCATCCTGGATGAGCTGCACTACCTGAGCCACTTGTGTGGGTTGTAGACTCCGTTTCATGCTACCACTAGAGTGAAAGCACTGCCAGCATTCAAAAGTGACCAAACTGTCAGCCAGAAAGCATAGGAACTGAGAAGTGGTCTGTGGTCACCACCTGCAGAACCACTCCTTTATTGGGGATGTCTTGCTAACTGCCTCTGCTTTCCACCTGTTGTCTATTCCATTTGCACAACAGCATGTGAAATTGATTGTCAATTTCTACTTTTCTACTTCAACACTACTTAGGTAGTGTTGCTACCTAAGTGGACAGTTAGATTTCACAGAAGTGTGATTGACTTGGAGTTACATTGTGTTGTTTAAGTGTTCCCTTTATTTTTTTGAGCAGTGTAGTTCTGAAGAAGAATGTTCTATCTACTCAGATTTGTTCTTGGGCATGCATAGGCTATGTTCACCAAAGCCACCTCTTTGAAAACACTTATTTTAGAGATAAATCCTATGCTCAGCAAGCATTCAGACAAGGAAACAAACAAACAAACCACATCTCAAAATAATAACCACAATATTAAATTATAAACCAAACTTGTAAGCAGAATGTGACAGTTCCCAGTGCACTTTGCTTTGAGTTGAAGAAGAAAGAAGTCTCACCTGTTCCTGGACCATCAATTGGCCAGACAGAATAGGTTGCAGGATTCCAGCTCTGGAGAAGGATGCCAAACTGAAGTTGAGACTCACAACAATGGCACTCAGTTTGTCTTTGAAATCAGCTTGATCCTGGGAAGAGGTGTATGTAAAAAGCAGTTTACAGATCCCATAGGTTAAGTTTTTCCCAGCTGGGTGCCTTTCAGGTATGTGGTACTACAACTCCATCACCTTCACCTGGTAAATTTGGAGCTGTAATTTGACAAATCTGGAGGACATCCAATTGGAAAATGTGTGCTCAAATTACATCTTTCTGGAAGGTTTGTAACTTTAACAAAGAAATGGGGAACTTTTAATTTTCTAGAAGCCACAAATTCTCATCTCTGCAAAGAGAAATTTCTAGAGGCACAAAAGAGTTAAGTAGTACTTGTCAAACTGAGAGACACAAAAGCCCTGCCAAAACAAAAAGGCGGTAACTCTGGTGTCCATAGCACTGTTTCTCATCTCTATAATTCTATGAGCAAAGTCTGATCAGGAAACACTCTCCCAATCTCAAATTTCCTCACACTCTCAACATCACAATGGAACGGTTAACCTCTGCATTATAGTAGGCTAGCATAATAGCCATAATGAAATTATTTTTTTATTTATGCAGTGAAAAATATGCAGGAGCTTTGCCAAAAGTGAAAATACCAACCACGTTTCCCAGAAAAGAAAGAATAGAAACTGCCCAGTTTTTATTGAACTATGACTCTCAAAATCCCTTGCCATTAGTCATGCTTGCTGGCTGTGGCTCCTGGGATTTGTAAATCATTCACATCTGGAAGTTGCTCTCCTCTTCTGAAGATGTTGGGAGATTAATATAACAATAGCATAAAGCATTTTATTCCAAGTCAGGAAAGTAATGGGCCAAAACTTCCAACAAATGGGCCAAAACTTCCAATAACAGACTTGTAAAACAACAGATTAAAAGTTCCAGCATAAGAAGGTAGCCTTGGTACTTCCCAAATTACAGAAGGAAAAATCTACTCAGCATTCTTTATTTCTCTGCAAATCTTGGGCTACAACATTCAAAGCTAAACATAATTTTCAACTACTGCTCAAGCCTTGCCCATATTCCAAACCCAGGCACACAGAAACAAAGACACACTTTTGATGCCTGAAATACTTACCCGTAAGTAAGCCGTGACATTCTTACAAGTCAGAGGAATTTTTTTGGACAATTTCATTTGGAATAATTGGCTTGGTTGGTTGGTTTGTTGCAAGAGAATCCGTCTCCCAAATTTTTGCTTCATATGGTCCAGCTGTAGCTCTGTAATTAGTTCTAGCAGACGCAAGGAAACAGGCAGAGAACAACATGAGAGTGATGAAGATTAATAGACAAATCACAATCTACAGTATACATATTGATAACTAGAATATCAAACTCTTGTCTTTTGTTGTTCAAGACAAGGATTTGGCTCAAACATCTGAAGTGTTCTAATAGTCCATACTTATTTTGTTCATTATGACTATGTGAGTATTCAGAAGATTTAGGAATGTGTAACAGAAAGAACTGTACACTCACATAGCAATTTAAGACCACCCTCTAACTTGAGTACTGTCCAGAAGTGCTATCTGACAGCAATACTGTGCTGATCAGGATTAATGGGAATTGATCCAACATTCTATGGGGCACTAGATTAAGATCCTCCCCCCATTTACTACAACCATTAATGCCAAAATAGAATCATATCTAATAGTTTTCAAATCTAAATAAATAAATGTGGAAAGTACTCCTTGGTGGATGGGTGGGAAACACGACTTAATAGCTCACTTCTTAATTTCAGTTGCTTTCTTTTTAATTTCATTTCTGAGTTAAATAGTGTCATTCTGGTTTTCTTCTTTCTGAAGTGCTAAGCATGCTGGTATGTTAATAAATAACCATGTTTTTATGCACATATTAACAATTAAATTCCAAAATTGCTCTGGTCATAGAAAAACATTTGGCATAAAAAGAAGCCTGTGGCAATCAGGAATAGCTATACACATTTGTTAATTGTCTAAAGAGAATTAGTTCTTAACTTTCTACAAATATTGCTTATGGGACTACTGAATCTAGTTAATCCTTATCTTATCTCTAATTAACTATATACTGTTTAACCAGCACACTCCCCATCTGGAATTACAAATTCCACTACCAACTAATTATCAACTAAAGTAAACATTAGATAATAACATAGCATCAAACAATGCAATGAGGTAGATACAAAGCATGCAAAGCTTGAGGTTCAATCTTCGAGTTCAGCAGTAGCTTTCCTCCCCGTCGTGCATTGTGGTGCAGTGCACATCGATATCGTGAAGTGCACTTCTTCCCTTTGGACATCAAAAAGGTTGAAGAATGCGGACTTGGCCAGTGAGCAATTGCTCTGAGGACCACAGTTTTACATACATCTTCATGGCTTCTTCTGGGCGTCCATCGGAGTAGACGTTGGCTAAACAGGTCTGATGACATGAGCAAGGGGATAGTGTGTTACTGCACACTGCTGTACAGTTGACACTTGCCACCGGCTCCAGGTATGCCTCAGTAGCATGCTGAGACTCCTTGGTCAAGGGAGGGTTAGGAGTTGTTTGCTTTGGTGGCTCACAGTCTGGATGCAGAGCGGCTGGGTGCTCGTTGCTGTTGCATAAGTAACGTCGCACCTTAGCTGTGCAGTCTTTGGCCATGTGTTCTGTAGACTTGCAACACTTGAAGCAGAGTTTGTACTCCCCTATCAAAGCTTTCCTTTGGTGTAGGGGTTTCTGTGCAAATACCTTGCACCTGTTCAGCGGGTGTAGAGACTTGTGGAATGGACAAATCTGGACCTTCTTTTTTCTTGGGAGTCTATATTGGGTTGTCTCCAATGGGTTTTCGCCCATATTCTTTATGGGTGAGATCGCGACCCTCGTTTTATGTGTAGACACGAGAGATTCTCACTTTGCAGTTTGGTGCAGTACGCTGGTTGGCCACTGGGGTGCGTTACAAGCTCTGGAAGACACTGGTGCAGTACACTTGTTGCCCACTAGAGGGTGATGCAACGAGTAGCTTGATTTCAGGCAGTTATGCTTTGAAGAGTAGTCACCAAAGGATGCTGTGATTTAAACTAATGTTTGGAGCAAACTGTGATCAGGCGATTTTCCTTTGCTGAGGAATATAGGCTGGTGTCCTTAAATTTGAGATTGCCTCTAAATTCCAGTAAAGGGGAATGTCTCTCCAGTTTTGCCAGCAAAGTTAAAACAACAAGCTGCATTTGGTTACCTATCTTCCAAGCATGTTGTCACCTCCTTACAGATGTAGATTCCCTCTTTAGGGGGGTTTACATGCAGAGTGGCTAAAGGTATTTATGGCTCATTTCTATGGAGATGGCTCATTTCCATGAAGATATCCTGTAATAAAACTCAACTCCTGCCGGCTAAGGAATCTTTATGGCATCTAACTTTTTTCTTCTTTTCTTTTCTTTTTTTGAAAATTTTATTGATTTTTAAAGACAAACATAAACAAACAAAACATAAAACATAAAAACATAAAACACCTTTTTTGAAAGCAGCTTGATCCCGGGTTACATCTCTTCGTACAGACACAAATTCAAATTCATGTTCATTTTATATACCGTTCCATATCTTGTTACCATTCTACATTTTCTATATAGCTTCTCCCCTCTTTTAAATGTCTTAATTTTATTTTATTTATTTCATCTTAGTTCAGATCATTATACTTATATTCTTTGTCTGTCCTGTTTCCAGCTGTCTATTATCTTTTCTCATTAAACAAAATTTCTCCTGTAATCACTGATTGGAGTATGACGCCTTTATATCTTTCCCCTAAAATTATAACACTTAATATAATACATAACTTCCATTCGGATTCTGCTTGGTACATTCTAAAACTACACACTGTATTTTAAAAAAAGAAAAAATTATGAATATATAATATAATTAAAACAACAATCCATACCAATTCAATTGTATCATTAATATTAATATTCATTTAAATCTTAAACATTTTACACATTACTTTTCAAATAAACATCATACTTCTATGGGAACACTTATCAACTTTCCATAATTACTTCCCCCCCACTTCATTTATATTTTATAAAACATTGAGTAATTAAAATGTTCCCATTCCTTCCTAATTCAATTCTCTCATTTATTTCATTTCATTTATTTTGTTCACAAAAGTTTCACTGAATTACACTGACTATTTTATCCCACTTTTTAATCATATGTTGTTTCCAATTTTCTAACTTTATTTCTAATACAAATATAACAATACAATCTTATGTACCTTTACAGAATCCCTTTTTCAGTTAAATTTTCACCCATTATCTCTGAATAAGTCCTGTTTCTTTACATCTTGCTCCAAACCTTTGTAACTTCTCTTCCCTTCCTTCTTCCCTTTCTTCTCTCTCCCCTTTTTACCCCCTTGTCTCTCCACCTCCATTTCCCTCTTCTGTATTCCCCTTTTCTGTTGCTTTCCAACATTATATCCACTTTTCACATTATTTTTCCCTTTTTTGGCTGTTTTTTTAAGTCTTATATTCTCCATTCTCTTTCCCCCCCTTTCCCCTTTCTTCCCCAGATAAAGTTCCGGTTTGCAGGGCTTCAGCGGCAGGCAGGAATCCGCGATCGTGCATGGTTTCTGCCTGGGCTCGCCACTGGAGCGCCCTGAGCCAGCTGGCTTCGGGGCTAAGCCATCCCGTAGAGGTGGTGAAGATGGGGGAGCGCCAGCAGGGTCGAGGGGAGCCGCACCTCTCCTCCTCAGCTGGCCAAATTCCCTTTCCTGAAGGCGGTAAGAGTGGCCGTCAGAAATGGCCACCTCAAAGAAGCACTCAGCCAGAAAAGAAAGTGCAGGAGGAAGTTAAGAAGTGAAAGTTTTGGTTGACCGGGACAAGAAGCAACAACTAAGGTATCCTGGAATTTAAATTTTACAAAAGATACATCGCTCCCAAAGAAGACTCGGAAGCAGCGAATGAAAGTGAAAAGGGAAAGTTTTTTTTCCACTCTCCTTCCTTACGTTGACAATGAAGAGAGCTGAATGAGAAATCGGGAAAACCCGCTTTGGCACCAATAGGTAATTAAACTGGAAATATAATTAAATGCCAACGGGACAATAAAGATTTCTGAACACTAAAAAATCTTTTTTTTTTTTTCTATAAGTGGGAAGGGAGAGGAAAATAATAAGGGCAGGATTTGGAAGGAGGAGTCTGCCTGGAATTCAAAAGAATCTAAAGCTAAATCTTAATAAGACTTCTAAAAGATACATTTTAACTCGAACTTTGCAACTAAATAGTAACCCCAGGAAGAGAAAGTGAAAAAAAGAAGAAAGTGTTAAAAGAAACAGCTTGTGTGTATTTGGATTGCTTGGTGACTTTGGGACTTCTGGAAATTATATTTGAATGACTAAAAACAATTGGGTGGTTGTTTAAAAAAAATTCTACAATGGCATCACTTGTGGATGAACTGAAAATGGAATTTAAAAAATATAAAGAAGAGGCACAAGAAGGGAAGGCCTCTCTTGGCTCCGTTTTTCAATTATTAGAAATGGCGATTCATAACTACGAGAAGCAACAAGAAAAGACTGCGCAACAAGAAGATTGGGACAAAGAAGAAGCCATCTTTAACTAACTTTTTTCTTCTTCTCCTCTTTGTTTTAAGATAGTAGTAAGGATCATAGAGTCTCTTTCAATTGCTAATACATTCACTCAGTTCTTTGCAAAGCCAACCAAGCCATTAACTCAAAGGAAGGAGGGGCCTCTTTTTATTGCCTGTTTCCTCTATGGCACGACCAGGGAGGAATCAAACCTTCATTTTAGCAGCTCCAGAGATAGGGAATAATGCAGTTTCTTTGTTTTAGGACACAAGAAAAGATTACTTAGACTCTTTCGACTGCAGTTTGTAAAAGGTTTGAAGACAATAACTTTGTTAGTACCAAACTGGAGGGCTCGTAGGGAGAGACAGGGAAACAGCATGGGTGCAGTCTTCTATTTGCTTAACAGTTCCTCTTCTCTCTTCTAAGATACAATTCAAATTTCTTGCTACTGATTTAAGAAGGAATCGAAAAACATATCTTTTCACTATCTTGTCTCTAATTTTCTGGCTGAATATAGAGACACATAGTTAAACACTACAAAGGCTTCCATACAAAGTTTCTTTATTAGATTATATCAGGCATCCTCAAGGTATAACTCACAGTTATGTTGAGATTCATCTAATGTCCAATATTTGCATTGTTGTCTTCATAATGTAAAAAGATAGTTATCTTCATCCCATAATGATACAAGGGGAGACTCCAGCACATTGCTGGGTTCAGGTAAGAATGAACAAAACTCCCCCAACCCAACCAGAGGTCAATTCAATGACCAATCAGGAGTACAGATGTGACCACATGACATGAACTACATTTCTCATGAGGCATTCACTTAAGGGGACAGCCCTCATTCCCAAACTAATTATATATTGTTTAACCAGCACAATCCTGTCTCATCAGAGATTCTGCGCAATAAGAAAAATTGTGTTGTGTGTAATACTATCTGTATAGTAGTTTTTCTCAATTTTGACAACTTTAAGATATGTGGGCTTCAACTCCCAGAAAATCCCCAATCATCCTGGCTGGCTGGGGAATTCTGGGACTTAACATCCACATACTTTAAGTTGCTAAGCTTTATAAATACTTCTGAAGGTTACTGATTCCAAGTTTCTGAAAAATCTTTCACCTGGGAGAACCCTCAAACCTCAGGATTCATATTGATCATGACCACAATGGTCTCTGTTCCTCCAAATTACTGATTCAACACTCACCGATTTCTAATGGAATCTTCTTTCCTGACATTCCTACGCACATCTGGATGTTGAAGCTGTATTGACAAGGAAAGAGACAACGAGGTTCATTTCACAGATCAAACAGAGCATACCCAACTAACAAGTAACTAACCATAGAACTTGCTTTTCTAAATCCCACCTGTACAGTTGCAAGTCTTATTACACGTTTAAATAAATTATTTATTTCATGAACTTATTTGAGGGCGAAGTGTCTTGCACATGTATAGAGTGGGAATTTGACCTGAACATGCCCTTCCCACTCCACTTACCAGCTGGCCTGTGCTCCTGGACAGGTTTTCATCTCTGAATCAAGCACATCAGGTATGGAAAGGTGGGCTTTGAGTATAATCATTGGCTGAGCTCTAAGAAAGACAAACATGTAGCGTTGTTATAGGTGCATATGCAGTGGGATAAATGGTGACTAAAGAATCTGCAGGAATATCAGAAATCCTCTTACTCATCATTGGTAGATGAGACAAAGGACTTTTCCAAAATTTCTAGTCATGGGTAAAATTTATCTACAATAAAAATTTTTTGCCTTTCATTAGCAAATTCAACAGTGTCCATGCACTGGGCCAGCCTTCTCTGATTTCATGCCCTTCTGTAGTGTTTTTCTGCAGCTGATGGGAGCAGTAGATCAACCCATTAGAAGACACTGCATTAAAGAAAGAAGTTCTGGAGTCAAGAGTAGCATCACATCACTCAGACCTTCCTCTGAGTGGAGCTACTTTGACTGCAGGTTCTCTTTCCTTTTCCCCTGTGCTTGGGTATCTATCAACTTTTCCCAGTGTGAGTGGAGACAAGAATTGTAGAATTTCCACTGTATCTGAAAATCCTTCAGGTTGGGGAATGCCAGCATATGCTTTTGTGAAGTTTGACACTAAGTTATATGTAAAACTTTAATGCAGTATAATAGTTTTGGGTGGCCTCTAACTAGTTTTAATCCTTAGACATAAGGTCACTTTTCACTACCAAAAGAGAATAGTTTTTATAGACTTGATTTCAGTCAAAAAAGAAATGATTGCAATTTGAGCTCAAGATGGAAAAAATGCTAAGACATTTTCCAAGACAGTCAAGTGATAGATCACTATGGCTTAGAACTATTTGTTTGCTCAATGAGATTTCTTTTCACAATCACCAAACTTGTCAAAGCGGAAACTCAACAATTCTATTTGCAAAGTAAAAAACGAACACCATAACCATAAGTTTTTGCTAGGAAACTACCCTATTTATAATTTAATTTAGAGTTTTCTATGGCAAAATTTTAGTTTATTCATAATTACAACACACACACACCCCAATCAATAGAATATAACAAAACCCTATATTGTAAACAGTTCTATATTTTTAAATTTGATTAAGTAAAACAATCAATATTAAATAAGACTTTTTAGGCACCTGTTTGCCTTTTCAATAGTTCCTTGGTTTCTTTTTCTTTCTATACAATTTCATCTTCATGTATAAATTCGCAGGCATTTATTAAGTAAAAATGAAAAATAAAAAAGAGGAAGAGATGATCATTCACATCTTCCTTTCCATCCATAAGAGAAAAGGAATATAGAATAAAACTTACGTCAAAATGACACTTTGCCATTTTCTAGTCCCTACACTAAACCAATTGGTACAAATTCTTTGCAACCCTTTCAGCAAGTGTCCAGTATGTTTCGCTAAAGAGTGGAAACTCTTGAGAGAACGTATGACAGTTCTTGGAAAAGAAAGATGATGCCACAAATTTTAGGGAAAAAAAGCACTGACAGGTAGCTGCATTTCAAATTATGAGATCCGAAGGTCTTGGCCATATTCACTCACCTGTAGACAGCTACCTTGTTGGTTCTGAAAGCACCAACTAACACATCTGGGTGTGAAGAACAAGATAAAAAACAGGGGGGATTAAGGATACAACATTCCACCAATCATCATTTTGAGGCCCCAACGCTACCCATCCCATTGAAAAGAATAGCAGTCAATCTAAGCTTTCCTTGTAAAAAGCACCCGTACCAATCATTAGCACCAGTCAATTATATTTGTAATACATTTTTAAATGTTCAGTTGATTTTCAAGTTTAATGAATACAAGAGATAATTATTACTACTATTATTGTTGTTGTTGTTGTTAAACATTTTTAAATGTTCAGTTGATCAAGTTTCATTTTAATGAATAAAAGTTTATAATTATTATTTATGGGTACGTGATTATTGATGAAACGTGTAACAGTGATACCCTTTGGCATCGCGGCACTTGGTACCATGTCAAAGAATTTTATAACATACATTAAGAAATTGCAACTTTCTGCAATAAACACCAGCGGAACTGCAAAAAACTGTGCTACTTGGAACATCATACATTTTAATGAATAAAAGGGATAGCAATAGGAGTAGTAGTAGTAGTAGTAGTAGTCGGGTGGGATTCAATTTTTTTAACAATTGGTTCTGTGGGTGTGGCTTAGTTGGTGGGTGTGGCTTGGTGGTAATGTGATTGGCTGGGCATGGCCAACTTAACATCGAGGCATGCATTTCCTCGCCTGGCCGTTCATGACTATGGGGATGCTGCAATAGTCATAAGTGTGAAAAATGGTTATAAGTCACTTTGAATGGTCAATCCAGCAAAGTACCAGCAAAGGAGGGGGGGGGAAAAACTCCAGAGAAGTTCTGTAATAAGGGTTAACGGAGAGGCAGTTTCTGTAAGCAACACCAGAATGTTTCCTTCCTGCCTTCCTTACAGGATTAGTGTTGTTCTACTTTGCTTCAAAGTGGTTTACAATGTTAGTATATTTTCCCCAACAATCTGGGTCCTCATTTTACTGACCTCAGGAGGATGGAAGGCTGAGTCAACCTTGAACCTGGTGAGATTCGAACTGCCAAACCCCTGGCAGTTGCAAGTCAGCAGAATTAACTTGTAGTACTGCATTCTAACCACTGTGCCACCACGGCTTTTATAGATTAGGCTAAGCACATGACATAACAAAACGTTGTATTACCAGGGTAGCCATTAAGATCAATGTCAGAAGCTCCACGGATGGCAAAACCAAAACCAGCAGACTCAGAAAAGGGATTCTTGAGGATTTGGCTTGGAGATGCACTCAGACCTTCACTGTGCCCACGATAGATGTAAACCTGGCCACCTCCATCTTGGCCCGCAAAGGGTGCTCCTATGGCTATGTCTGTGGAAACAAAATATAATGGCAAATATTTTCCATGATGAGAAACACGTGAAAAAACCAAAAGAAAGGGAGCATGGTGAAAAGCATTACAAGGGTATTTCCAAATGCTGAATTAAACTGCTGTCCTTCAATCTTTAGCAGAAAAAAAAAAAACCACCACTGTAGCAGGAAACTGGCTACTCCCATTGCCAACCCCTATCCTGCCCCATTACCTCTGGCTTGCCTGATTGACAAATGGTGCTGTCTTGATTTTGCACATGCCCCTTTTCATACATTCCTTTTTATCATAACCTAAATTAAATAAAGTGAAACCAATAACAGATTGGTGTCACAAAGGTAGCCTAATCTTATTTTACTCAGGATTTTCCTTTCCTTCTTTTCTTTTTGTTTCTTTTCATTGCAGGCAATTAATACTGGCTGTCAGGATTCCGGCAGTTACCCCAATTTTAAGATTCCTCATTGTTTTCATGAAGCAAAGAGGAGCTTTGCACTAAGCCAGCAAAGAATATAAAGTTAAAGCATTTATAGAACAGCCATCTGAACAGCTGACGGCATTGCACAATTCTGATATTTCATTAGCACATCTAGTGTGTCTAACCCTTTAGCAGCAGAATAGCAACAGATGGGCTGGGCAGAGATCAGAACACACCTCTCTGATCTCACCCGCCAATTGAGTTTACTTCAGAAGTGGCAAAGCTTAGCAGGTTTTACACAGTTGTAGCTGTCATTGGACACTCTAATTTATAAGGAGAAAACATTATTTTAACCCCAGCCCAGTGAATGATGCCTTAAGTCTGCCTCATCTAAGGACTAGGAAGGACTAGATGAAAGCAAAATCATAAGGATATGGCAAAGCAACAACCACCACCATGTTGCCAGGATAGGCTTTTGCATTTTGCATTTGTATTATTTGTAACAATAAATGAATGTTTGTGCCATGGACAGATGCAGACGGGTGATGACATGATCAACTTCAAGCATTAGGAAGATAGAAGATTAAACTGATGACTCTTTGTGTATCCTCCAAATTTAGGTTTCAAGAGATCAATAGATATGGATACTAATAGGTTGGTGAAAAGATACTGCAGATGACTAAGGTTACTTTCAGGTGGATCTTTTAAAAAAAGATCTCAGTATTGACAGCAGGTTCACTGTAATGAAGAATGCATCTTCTTTACAACCTCAAATGCTTGCTTATTACCATCTATTCTAAGACCAGGGACCAATGTTTGTTTGTTTGTTTGTTTGTGTATAAAATTTATAGGCTGCTCATCTTACTTCAAGGTAACCCTGGGCACTATTTAAATATTTAAAACGACTAAACGTAGTCATCCATAGAAATCTAGACTCAGCCACAATGAATCCTGGATTGTGTGATGAAATACTGATCTCTCTTTCAACAGTAGGAGGTAGCTGAGATACAACACCGGGATTTTTCAGATTGCTTTCCTCCCTATTTCTCATCCACGCCTTCTTACCAATGTAGCCATCCTGATCTATATCACCCAAAGAAGCAATAGCCATGCCAAAACGACCATAGATATCTATGCCAGTCAACTTCTGCCAAGGAGTTCTGTAAGGCCGTGGGCTCCTCCGCTGTAGGTATACGTAAACTCTTCCCACTTCATAGAGTTTCCCATCTGAGCGGCGCTCCATGAAAAGAGGGGCACCCACTAAAATGTCGTCTTTCCTGAGACACAGAAAAACAATCTGTTATACATGGCACAATCTCCAGCTCAGCCAAAGCAAATACAAATAACAACGCTAAGAGTAACCTGCCTAACACTGAGACCTTAAGTTACAGTGGATTTGTAGAAGACTAACTATGGGCTTTTCAAGAGGCATCTGCCTAATCATAATAGGAATCAGCATATTGGTTCAGGCAGGCCTTATGGTTGCTCCAGCAGGCCTCCCTACATACTGTAGCAGGTTCCTTCCACCACTACCGAGAGAGCATTTGAATTCCTTCAAAAAAAGAAATAAGCAATTCACAGACCCCACATACCACTGAAACATACTTAAGAAGTGTAGTGCTAATTACTAGAAGCTGCATCTATGTAAAGGAGTTTAGGAGAACAGGACCAAGAATAAATATGTGCTTTGGATTTGTAAGGGAAGCTGCAAGCGGATTGTTGTTTCTCCACTAATGCCTGTTCTTCTGTTTCTTTTTTAGACCATTTCCCAGGACTGGCCTCATTCTCTTAGGTGGGTAGTCCTGAGAATCCAGGCAATGATTCTTCTCTAGCATTTCTGCCTGGATTACAGTGAGAACCTGTTAGATCGGGTAGATCAGTCCCCATAGCGACGCGAGACCAACAGTGAACATTCAGCTCTTTATTGAGTATACAGTTCTGTACAAGACCTGCGCTTTGCGGCAGCTCTTCATATAGGAGCTGTCCGAGGCGTGGCGGCCAATGACAGCGCTTTGAATCTCCCGCGATCGGCTCGGCCAATCGCGGTTGATTCTAAGCGTGCCAATCACGGCCGTTTAGTTATCCAATCAGGTTGCGGCCCCTGTGGACCAATCAGGTTTCAGGGTTTGGAGTATTCTAATATAGAACAGAACCCACATACCTTCCCCTTCCGCTTCTCTGAAAAGACAGATTTGTTTTGAGATCAGGGTAGGGTATCTTGCTTTGAAGGAGATTGTGGCAATAATCAATACCTGTAAGATGGTGGTGTCAAACTCAGGTTGTCACGGCAGTGTCATGTGACGTATCAGGACTCCCCCCCCCCTTCGCTAAATCGGGAGTGGACGTGGCCAGCACATGATACATCCAGCCCGCAGGCCGGGAGTTTGACAGCTCTGCTGTAAGACCTGGCATAACAATGTTGTTTTATAGTCAGTAAAGAGCAAGCAGGAGGATCAATGGCAGGCGTCTTCTTACAGATGCTTCTGCCTGTCACCTCAATAGAATAGAATAGAATAGAATAGAATAGAATAGAATAGAATAGAATAGAATAGAATAGAATACTTTATTGGCCAAGTGTGATTGGACACACAAGGAATTTATCTTGGTGTAAATATTCTCAGTATACATAAAAGAAAATATACATTCATCAAGAGTCGAGAATCATAAGGTATTATAAGGACACTTAATCAGG